TTCTCAACAAGATCCTAGCTAATAGATCCAACAGTGCATTAAAAAGATTATCCACCATGACCAGGTGGGATTTATCCATGGGATACAAGGTGGTTCAACATTTGCAAATCAATCAATGTGATAGAAAAAATCAATAAGAGAAGAGAGAAGAAACACATGGTCCTCTCAATTGATGCAGAGAAAGCATTTGACAAAATACAGTATCATTTTCTGATTAAAACTCTTCAGAATATAGGGATAGAGGGAACATTCCTCAACTTCATAAAATCCATCTATGAAAAACCCACAGCACATATCATTCTCAATAGGGAATAGCTAAGAGCCTTTCCCTTCAGATCAGGAACATGACAAGGATGCCCACTCTCACCACAGTTGTTCAACATAGTACTAGAAGTCCTGCAACAGCAATCAGACGACAACAACAACAACAACAACAACAATAACAAAAAATAATAAAAGGTATTCAAAATGGCAAAGGAGTCAAACTCTCTCTCCTCACAAATCACATGATACTTCATGTGGAAAACCCAAAAGACTCCACCCCAAACTACTAGCAATTCAGAAATTCAGAAATGTGGCAGGATACAAAATCAATGAACAGAAATCAGTTGCTTTCATATACACAAACAATGTAACTGTAGAAAGAGAAATTAGAGAATTGATTCCATTTAAAATAGCACCCAAAACCATAAGATACCTTGGAATATATGTAACCAAAGAGGTAAAAGATCTATACTCTAGAAACTACAGAACACACATGAAAGAAACTGAAGGTACAAAAATATTCCATGCTCATGGATCAGAAGAATAAACATTGTTAAAATGTCTATACTGCCTAGAGCCATCTATACTTTCAAAGCCATCCTGATCAAAATGCCAATGACATTTTTCAAATTGCTAGAACAAACAATCCTAAAATTTGTATGGAATAGAAAAGACCCAAATTGCTAAGGAAATGTTGAAAAAGAAAAACAAAGCTGGGGGCATCATGTTGCCTGATTTCAAGCTACATTACAATCTGTGATTACCAAGACAGCATGATACTGGCACAAAAACATAGACCAATGGAACAGAAGAGAGAGCCCAGATATGGACCCTCAAGTCTATGGTTAAATAATCTTCAACAAAGCAGGAAAAAATTATACAGTGGAAAAAAAAAAAAGACAGTTTCTTCAATAAACGGTGCTGGGAAAATTGGACAGCTATATACAGAAAAATTAAACTTGACCATTCTCTTACACCATACACGAAGATAAACTCAAAATGGATGAAAGACCTCAATATGAGAGAGGAATCCATCAAAATCCTAGAGGAGAACATAGGTAATACCCTCTTCGACATTAGTCACAGCAAATTCTTTCAAGACAGTCTCCAAAGACAAGGGAAACAAAAACGAAAATGAACCTTTGGGCCTCATCAAGATAAAAACCTTCGGCACAACAAAGGAAACAGTTAACACAACAGAGGCAACCCATGGAATGGGAGAAGATATTTGCAAATGACACTACAAAGAGCTGATATATATATATCAGAACTATAAAAAACTCAAACTCAGCATCCAAAAAACAAGTCAAAAAATGGGCAAAAAACATGAACAGACACTTCTCAAAAGAATACATACTAATGGCTAACAGACAGATGAAAAAATATTCATCATCATCAGCCATCAGGAAAATTCAAATCAAAACCACATTGAGATACCACCTTACATCAGTGAGAATGGCAAAAATTGACAGGGCAAGAAACAACAAATGTTGGAAAGGTTGTGGAGAAAGGTGAACCCTTTTACACTGTTGGTGGAAATGCAAGTTGGCACAGCCACTTTGGAAAACAGTGTGGAGGTTCCTCAAAAAATTAAAAATAGAGCTACCCTATGACCCAGCAATTACACTACTGGGGATTTACCCCAAAGATACAGATGTAGTGAAAAGAAGGGCCATATGCACCCCAGTGTTCATAGTAGCAATGTCCACAACAGCCAAACTGTGGAAAGAGCTGAAATGCACTTCAACAGATGGATAAGGAAGATGTGGTCCATATATACAATGGAGTATTACTCAGCCATCAGAAAGGATGAATACCAAATTTTGCATCAACATGGATGGGATTGGAGATTATGATAAGTGAAATAAATCAAGCAGAGAAAGTCAATTATCATATGGTCTCACTTATTTGTGGAACATAAGGAATAGCATAGAGGACATTAGGAGAAGGAAGGGAAAAATGAAGAGGTGGAAATCGGAGCGGGGGATGAACCATGAGAGACTATGGACTCCAAGAAACAAAGTGAGGGTTTTAGAGGGGAAGGGGTAGGGAGATGGGTGACCCTGGTGGTGGGTATTAAGGAGGGCACAGATTGCATGGAGCAGTGGGTGTTATATGCAAATAATGAATCACAGAACACTACATCAAAAATAACAAAATAAATAAGGAAATGAAAAAATGAAAAATCTCGCAAAAATATTAAGCCAAGGAAAAGTAATTTTGCAGAAAATTAATGACTGGATAAAATTAAAAACTAACATGTTTGGTGGCCTTCCACTCTTTTTGAAATTGTGACAAATGTGCACATATATAATAAAAAATGAGAAGCTTGTTCAGAAAATCCACCATTTAATAAGGAATTGTGGGATTCATCCTGAGTTAACTTTGAAATGCTCCTGAATTCTGGGGAATACTGAAAAAGATGGTGTTTGGATCAGTTTGCATAGCACCAAATGTATTCTTGGTTACAGAATTCATATCGGAATTGGGTTTTTAGGATATTAATAACTAAGCTTTAGGAATCTTAATATTGTGCCAGTTGTTTGGTAGACCTTGGTATTTTATCTTTTCATGTTTTAAAATGTATTAATACATGTGCCAAACAAGAAACTGAAAACTATTATATTATATTTTGTATTTTTACTTTAATTACCATAATCATGTTGAATTTATTTGATCATTGATTTTATTTCACGTAAAAAAGCTAATTTCTTCTTAAATTTATAGCGCTTATGTTTTCACTAGCTACATTTTACAATCCAAATGTTACTTTTTTTTAAAAAAGATTTTATTTATTTATTTGACAGACAGAGATCACAAGTAGGCAGAGAGGCAGGCAGAGAGAGAAGAGGAGGAAGCAGGCTCCCTGCTGAGCAGAGAGCCCGATGTAGGGTTCGATCCCAGGACCCTGGGATCATGACCCGAGCCAAAAGCAGAGGCTTTAACCCACTGAGCCACCCGGGCGCCACCCAAATGCTACTTTTATTGTAATATCTAAATGGATACAGAAAAAGAGAAGTTTCTCTACCAAGGGATTATTACTTTTGAAAGGACCAGATACAGTTTTCTTTTTAAAATTAGGTTATTTTAACATTGTTTTGTTTGAAAATATAGGTGAAGTGGTTTCAAGAAAGTATTTTGTTCCTCTTGAACGAGATAATGTTGTGTGTTAACTTTTCTAGCTGTAGCTCCAGTTTATCATTTAGTGTTAAGAAATCAATTATTTGAAGGCACTGAAAAAATATTTTTATCATCAACAAAGTAAATTATTGAAATTTAAAACAAATTGAAATTTAAAACAAATAAGCTTAACTCAATCCATAAACTCTTACAGTGCCCCCCTAGTCCTTCATCATACTCCCTTTCCTGATCCCAGAGTTTCTGATTAACTCATTTATTAAACAATATAAAAGATGATAAAATCTTTTGTACCGTGTTGTAAAAGAAAGAGAGAAAAGAATTTCCAATTGTGAGATTTAAGTTCTCATCAGAATATTAGAGGAATATTGTAGAAAGCAAGGAGATCTTTTTGGTAACATTGAAACCAAACTGCCCACAACAACTTTATTCAGTGGTCCTACCGATCCCTGCTTCCCCATCTTCATTATTCAACATGAATAATTGACAATTGTCTCAATCATGTGTAAAGTGCTAGTAACCACATTAGATTCAAGCCTCTCTCCCTACCAGATTGTCACCAATGAGTGTCACTCATCTAGATATTTCAAGTCCTAGGGGCACCTGGGTGGCTCAGTGGGTTAAAGCCTCTGCCTTCGGCTCAGATCATGATAACAGGGTTCTGGGATCGAGCCCCGCATCGGGCTCTTCTTGGCAGGGAGCCTGCTTCCCTTCCTCTCTCTCTCTCTGCCTGCCTCTCTGCCTACTTGTGATCTCTATCAAATAAATTTTAAAAAGTCTTAAAAAAATTTAGATATTTCAAGTCCTAAATCAATCTGCTCCCAGCTTATGGCTTATAAAAATGAAAATAATCCTAGAAGATATCAAAATGTTACTTTCATAATGAATATATATCCAGTGTATCCACATGTGGCATGATCAACTATCCCTACCCTAATTTTTGTAAAGAGGTGCCATATAACTCTAAATGTAATTTAGAATTTTTTTTTTTCTTTACAATTTTAGATAAAATTTGTGTTTAGTGAAATGCAGTAAAATTAATTGTACAATTCAATGAATTTTGACTAGTGCATTCAATGCTGTAATCTACATCTCTATCAAGGTATAAAGTATAGATCACTTCCATAAGGTTGGAGATTCCCTCAAACCTCTTTGCAATGGACTCTGTCATCTTCACACCTCACCCCAGGTAGCTGTTTTTGCCTGTTCTGGAATTTCAACAAACGAGTCACCCAAGTTGTATTCTTTTGTGCTCGGCTTCTTTATCTCAGTATGATGTCTATCTGTAAGATCCATCTGCACTGTGGTATACTTCAGTAGTTTATTACTTTTTATTGTTAAGGTAGTGTTCAATGATATGAATATATGATAATTTGTTTATCTATTCATCAATTGATAGACATTTATATTGTCTCCTCCTTCTTTTGGCTATTATGAGCATAAAGCTGTAATGAATTTTTTTGTCCAAGTATTTTTGTGAACATATGTTTTTATTTCTCCTGGGTATATACTTAATAGTGAAATTATGGGTTGTGAGCTAAAATCCAGACCCTTTTGACTGGAGGGCAATACCTAACCCAAAGGTTTTTATTTATCAGATATCCACTGTTCACTCTCAACAAGAAGACCCAAATAAACCCTACTGGATTTTGAGGTTGGTCACAGAACACAATGAAGCAGAATTTTTTGAAGTGAAAAAGGATACAGAACGAGCAGATGAAATCCGAGCCATGAAGCAAGCCTGGGAGATGACTGAGCCAGGAAGAGCTATCAAGGTCACTTGAGTTGGAAAAGTTGTTCTTTAACTTTCCATTCCTAGGCACCGGTCTGAAGTGAGAGCCACGACGGTGAAAGCATATCGTCTTTCCTTTAGGAACGGTATCTGGAATTTTGTTAGACACTAACTACATGTTAAGACCATATTTAAACACACTGTGAAATGTGCAGAATGGCTGATACCAGATGACTCACAAAAGGGAAGCACATGATGGTGCCACTTTATTGGTCCAAACTGTGGGTTCCCTCGTTCTTTTACGTAGTGTGGGCTGTATTGATGTGGTTTTGGAATATACATGAGGTTCAGTGGGGTGAGGTCTAGAGCCAATGACCAAGAAAGAATTCTTGTGACGTCTTTGGTGCAAAATATTGGTTTATTGAAGCACAGGGGCAGGACCCATAGGCGGAAAGAGCTGCTGCTCAAGGTTGTGAGGGGTGGCTGACTATATAGTATGGGGTTGGGAGAGGTAAGGAAGAAGAGAGGTTTGTGAAAGAACTTTCATTGTTAAAGAAGACTCACAGGATACTACAGGCCTTGCGACTGTCAAGTTAGGTTGTTTTACCCTCTAGCAAGGCATTAACATGAAGATAGTTGGAAACTTCCTGGAGGAACATTATACTCTGCCTGCTTCAAGTATCTGTGAATAGGCTGCAGGTTATAAGCACATATAATTGTATCTACATTTCCTTCTGGAAGCTAGGCTGTTGATAGAAGTGCTTCGTTCTTATAAATTGCTGAGACATTTGTAAACTGAGGGAGATTTGGGTCTTGCAGGATTGTGATCTCTATAGATTAACTATTTGTTTTTCCTTTCCTTAGTTTTAGGGCAGCCAGAAAGAGCCTGAGGAATGTCACATAGATCCCATTGGTGGGGGTGGGGTGGGGGGGTTTGTGGGGTGTCAGGTTCTGCTTTGTCCTCAGCTTGCCTTCTGTTTCCTCATCAGTATCCATGTCTGTCCTCACACTCCTAAGTAAGAAAGCATAAACATGTTTAATATGGGTTTTCATGTACTTTGAAGAGCCTTGAGTGGATAAAAAGCCTGTGCTGCTCCTTGTGGAATATACATACTTCACATCTCCCTCCCTACTCTATGTAAGAATCATCGCTATAGTGAGCCATTATTACTCATATGTGTTTCATGTCCCTACTCAGGGTTATTAAGCCAGATGAAAAAGGTTCAGGAGCAACTGGACCTAAGGCTGCAGGCCTTGTGTATCCGTTTTAAGACTGCTTCTTCGTTAGCTCTCAGAAAGAACTGTCAGAATTATGGATGGCTTAGAATTTGAGTTTATTGGATAATAAGAGCTGGCCTAGTTCAAACTGCCATTATTTATTCTCACTTTCCTCTTTCTTTCATGCACTCTTGAAATGTTGTTTCCTGGGCCATTCATTGATAATGTTTGTTCTTTAGGCTTCCCAGGCTCGCCTGCATTACCTCAGCCGGTTCATTAAGAAAATACCGGATGCGGACAGCATGCCTGTGTCTGAGAGCCAAACCAAAGCTCTGGAGGAAGGTCAGTGAGCCCTGCCCCAGCCATCTCAGAGCATGGAGCTGTGCTTTGCACCTCTTAAAAGACAGAGGATTCTACAGGATAGGAAAATAGATTCTGATTTTTTTTTTTTTTTTAAATCAAGCAGATGTTTGCTTTCTCCCCAAGTAGGTATGGTTTTCTCCATTTAAGAAAAGATGAAACCATAAATAAGAGTGAAGCCTAGGTCAAGATAGCAGTGTGTGAATTTGAAGGCAGGCCCACGACTGTTAATCTGGCAACTTTCTAGTAATAATAGCTGTGAATAATAACAATAAGATAAAGCTAACTGCTTTTATTGAGTGATTGTTGTGGGCCCAGAACTGAAAATACTAATTATTTCATTGAACACTCACATGAATTCACTATAATCTGTAATCTATAATATGATTTCTGGCTTACCAATAAGGACACAGGCCCAGAGTGATTTACTTTGCAATTTGCTAAATTCACAAGATACCCAGAGACAGGCCAGCTTACAGATAGCTCTCCATGACCCCAGAGCACCTTCACTAACCCTTCACTGCCCCTATCTATAACCTCCTTGGGATGCCAAGGTAGGCTGAAGATGTTAACATCCCCAACTATGCTTTTCCATGTTTATGTTCTTAGGAATGCAATTCAATGATTTTTATAATGATAATGCCCCCTTAACTTTTTATATAAGAGTATAAACAGCAAATATCACCCTGATTTTGTTTCCTGGGATGGGTACTCTTCACAGAACTGTTTATCTCCTTTTAACTTACAACAACTATGAGGTAGACACTATTATTCCTTTTTACAGATAAAGAAACCAATGCTCAGAGAGTCACCAAACTTCCTAAGTCACAGATCTAAAAAGTGATAGAGTAGGATTTGAAATATTTCTAACTCCCAAAGTACTCACTTTTCTAAGTGTTAAAGTCTAATGTCATATCAAGAATACAAAAGTGAATAGGTTTTATTATGATTCTATCATCTCATTATTTTAAATTTTATTATTTTATTAGAGTTTATTATTGTTTTTAAAAATATATTAAGTTATATGAAAAGAAAAATGTTGCACAGGACACTTGTTAAAAGTGACAAGGAACACTATTCAAACTATTGCAATAGGAGTCAAGACTGTTACAGTAGGAGAGAGAGAGATTGAATTCAACTTTGAATACAGCAGGGACAAGTGGGATTTTATAGTGACTAGGTAGGGAGTGGGTGGAAAGTTACCCAGAAAACTTGGTTAGATATCGAGGGTAGGGGGAAGAGAGGAGCTGGATTGGAATATCAAAGCGGGGGTGGGGGGCATTTCTTGATAAATTAGTCCAGCAGTATTCTTTGCCTAAACTGGAATTCACAAACCAAGGACAAGGCCTAGTCGAGAGCAAGGCTCAGAGGAGGCTGACCTTGTCCTACAACATTCACGCAGTAAAGACACAAATATTCACTGTACAACTTGACAAATTTTTATATCCGTACACACTCTGGAACCACCATTATCAAGATATAAAACACTTAAACATCCCCAAAGTCTTCCTCATTCCCCTTCCGTCAGCCATTTTCTCCCTCAAAGTAACAACTAGTCTGACCTCTATTACCCTGTTTCCATTTTGCCTGTTCTTGAACTTCATATATTTGGACTAATACAGTATATACTTTCCATCCCTCACCATGAAATGAAGCTCTTCTAACTCTTGTCAGATTGTAAAGTGTGTTTTAGAAGAAATTTGTCTATTTTATTTAAGTTAAACTTCCTAAAATAAATTTATTTTTAATTTTTTTGATCCATTTTGTCTGAAGGGTACATCAATTTTAATAATATGTTAAAATGTGTATTTATTTTAACATTTCTCCATGCTTTCAATTACTAACCTATTATCACCTTTTATTCAAAGCAGAATATAACATTAATTAAATTATCTGCTATTGATAAATGGGGGGAGAATGTCTGTATAACGTGGAAGCTGTGATAGGTTTTACACAGTTTTTTCTCCCCCAGGCATAAAGATCTAGAACAGTGGGAGCAGAATTGTAGCATTAAGGAAAAACTTCCCAGCTTTGCAACTTCACAAGCAAGAGCTCTTCTCACCTCTTTTTAAGATAATTTTAGACAAGTGCCTAGACATAGGGCTCCTTCTCCAGAGAGAACCACATTCACATACATTTCCCATACAAGGAAGGTTGCTACCTCCTCCAGGGCCCACCCTAGCAGTGGTCCCAGTGTTCAGAGATCCCATTTCCACTTGCAATGTCTCACCTCCCCAAAGCCTCTATTTTTATGTTATGTGTTGGTATCCTGAGGTATGCTTCCAGACACATCAGTGGTTTGGGCCATCCAAATAATTTCTGAGGCTACCAATGATTATTATCACTAGTGCTCTCGTTGGAGGTGGCAAAGCTTTCCAGTCAGCTCCAAACCTGGTTCCCACAAGCCCTCGCTACTTTCTGCATATGATTTTATAGAATACAAGCTTGTCTTGGCTAACGCACATGTCGTGTTGTAGTTGAAACTTTGTCAAGTGCCACAAGAGAGTCAGAAACAAAGAGTTCTGTGAGTTCCGATAACAAAGATGTCGTGTCGTCAGGGAATATGCTGTGGAAGAAGTGGCAAATGGGGAAGGGCTTGAAGGATCTTTCCAAATCCGGGAGCAGCGAAAGCGGAGGAACGTCCCCAGCAGGGAAGGAGGAGCAGAGCGTGCGGAAGGAGATCAGTAAGTGGTGTTCTCGTTTGTAAGAAAAATATGTACTTGGAAATAAAAATTCTGGAAAGACACTGACAAAACACATGTGATGTGTAGGGTTATAGCTAGAAAAATACGTATTTTGGATTCATAGGTCTTCATTTTGTTTATCAGAGTTGATAATCGGCTCAATGACCTCATTGCTCAGTAGTTAACTTAAAGGTAGAAGTGGACCAAAACAAAAAGCAAAAAACACACAGCAGGTATATTTTTGTACACTTCCATATGTCTACAAACACTAAAAATAAAATTGCAGTGACCACGCATGCCATTGTCACCAAACACAGATACTTTATTATTTTTTTTAATCTACCATAGGCTTCATGGTATATTTTCTTCTTACCTTTTATAACAAATTTTAAATATTTGGATTCTAAAATTTTGGAGGAGAGGGATGAGTTTTTAGTGGTGCACAAGCCACACTGATTTGGTTCATTTTTGTATAGTGGGGATTCGTATTTGTTCACTAAAATCAGTGTAAATCCTCTAGGGAAGTTTTTAACAGAGAAATGTCTTTGCATGCTGGTTTCCCCGAGGAAGGATTTCCTCTGAGCAACTCCTGGATGAAGGGACTAAATTGCTAAGGGGCTAAGTATCCTCTGTGGTTGAAACAATAAATCTGGCTGCCCATAGGGGATCCTGAGTCCCTTGCTTGTCCTTGAGTTGGAACCACTACCTATGGTAGTGAGGTGAATGGCAGGGGTCAGCTGGCTGTCGCGTTCTGTGACTGTGGCCCATTTGCCTCTCACATGGAGCTACATTCTCCAATTATACCTGTATCAGTAGCAAAAATCTTAATCTTTATTTCTCTACTTGTTCAGAACCCAGGCAGGTAAGAAAGATATTTTGAAAGGATGCATCCTCAGAAACACCAACCGCAATGGTTCTTTTCTCAAAATTGCTAAACCAGTCTGGGAATTTTTAAATTAAAAACTGCTTATGGCTAAACCATGTCCTTGAAGGAGTTCCACAAGGAAGAGGAAAATTCCAAAATTCAAAGGGCTCTTTTACTGCAGTAACAGGAGATTCCATTTTTTTAGCCAATATTTTGAAAGTAGGCACTCGTTTAATAAATAATGACATACATGATGTAACGCTAAAACTTATTTAGAATAACAGCTATCATTCTATGTTAATATTTAATTTGTAGAGTGGTTTTACATCTATTATCTCACTGGAGCCTCTATGAACTAGACAAAGCATATACCGCTATCTCTGCCTCAAAATTTAAGTGATTGATAAATGTCTCACGCGAGGGCAGGAAGCTGAAACAATGTGCGGTGAATCAGGACTCAAATCCTCGTTCTTTTCATTCCACATGTTGTGATCTCTAATGGAACATAAACTTTTCCTCACACTTGGTTAAAGACTTGTGAAATGAAAATCTAATTATGTTTGGAGGTCGACCTGTTTATATGCTAACAAAGTAATTTTTTTAAGTTGCAAAAATGGAATGTAATCATGATTCTTCACTCCAGCCTTGGCCAGTGTGTCCCCTCAGTCATGGTGTGGAATCATTTTCTGTACAAAGCCCTAGACCAGTGTGTTGGGAGGGACTGCTTCTGTGTCAGTTTTCGTGTTCTTCATTTCTTTACACTTTTGGCCTTCGGTCTTTAGACCTTTCTATTAAAGTTCACAGCACTATGAAAGAGTCTACTTTGGGATGGAAAGGAGGGGGTAGGAAACAGGGAGGAAAGGTAAATTTGAGTGGAAATGGAGAACTGAGGCCAAATGGCCTGTCCTCAACCAAAAATGTCTTCAACACATTCTGAAATGTGTTTTATTATCACTTTTATTGAATATAAATAATATATGTATAATATAATATATACTATATTACATGTAAAATAAAATATAAATTTACTCACACAATATCAAGAAAAGTCGACCCCTTCTCCCTCCAAGAAAAGGTGTGGTATTTGGTTTCCAGGACCTCTTACAGCACTGAAACATGGCCATGGACTTTGGGTACAGGGGTTATAAAAGGAATCTTGCTTGAGAACAATGAGTCTGGTTGTCCAGCTGTTCTCTGGAACTCCATGGGATGCTCTTACCTCTGCTGTTGGTGCCCCATATTAGCCCTCACTCCTGGAGAAGCATTACCTGTAAGAGATTACAGACCCTGGGAGAACTTTGCATGATCTGGTCTCTTTATTCCTTTGAAATTTGGATTTCCCACAAAACTGTGTTATTCTTGGGTGATTGGATGGCTCATTTGCTTAAGATCTGCCTTTGGCTCAGGTCATGACCCCAGAGTCCTAGGATCAAGTCCCACATCGGGCTCCCTGCTCAGCATGGAGTCTGCTTCTCCCTCTGCCCTTCACCTCACTCATGCTCAATCTCTCTCTCTAATAAATAAATAAAATCTCTAAAAGCAAAACAAAAAAACCCCCTACCTTATTCTTGCTACTTCCTATTTTCATACAGCAGGTAACTTAGAACAATTTCCTTCATAGTACCAGAGGGCATATGGAAATGATATTACTATGGATTTCACACCTAAGCATTCTTTCTCAATACCAAAGCCATTGTCAAGTTCAACAATCTAAACATTGCTTTCCACTTCCCCTTTACCTCTGGGAGCCTCTAGAAAATGCTTTTTACAAACGTTGCAGGTGATCTTTGTCTTTATTCCCACATCTTTTCCCCAGGCTTCACAATCACTATGCCCTTGAACAGCGATTTTTAGACTTATCTATGACGAAGTAAGTTTTCTCCCTTAGTCCGTTGGAAACATACAAGGCTGTCATAATACACTCACACCCTATTCTGACATAAAAGAGTTTAGTAGCCAGAACATGAAGGTTAGGGGCGCCTGGGTGGCTCAGTGGGTTAAAGCCTCTACGTTCGGCTCAGGTCATGATCCCAGGGTCCTGGGATCGAGCCCCGAATCAGGCTCTCTGCTCGGCAGGGAGCCTGCTTCCTCCTCTCTCTCTGCCTGCTTCTCTGTGATCTCCATATGTCAAATAAATAAATAAAATCTTAAAAAAAAAAAAAGAACATGAAGGTTAAACTTCTCTGCCCCTTTCCCACACCCTCTTCTGTTTCAATATATGTTATCTGGCAGAAGGCAAGAAAACACAACTATCTAATTAATCAGTGAGTATTTACTTTCCAGTTAAAGTCAGCAGAGTTAGTGTCTTATCAAAACAACTAATGTTTGAAATGCCAAAAATATAGCCAACATAAGTAGATATGTTCATAAGAAAAGCAAATGAACTTTAGAAATCTAAAATCCCATAGTCATCACAATGAAAAAAGAAAAGTTATTGGCTCCTGGTTCCTAAAAAACATATTATAAAATGTTAATTCTTCAGGAATGTTTTATGTTATAAAATGAAAGACATGATTGAATTGATGTTTTCATCATAGAGTTGAGTTGGGATATTTTTTTATTTCACATGTACCATGTCTTCATGTATTTTCCAAAAAATGAATAATTTGTACATCATGTTTAAAATGTTTTTTAAAGGTTTATATTAGATTGAATTTCTGAATGAGTGATCACTTTTAACAAGTTGTTACAAATTAAGCACTTTCCAATATTGTAGGAGGGGATCACAACCCTGTGTAAAAAGTAAGACTAAATAGTCTGTGGACGTGAGACGTCCTGATGGCAAAGTTAGGATTTAACATAACCTCTCCCCTAAAGCACTAATAAACTGAAAATTAATTAAAAGACATGTTAAAACTCTGAAGGCATATAACTAAATAAAAAGTACAAGATACAAGATTAATATACAAAAATTACTTTCATTTCTACATAATATCAATGAGTGATCAAAAAAGAAAATTAAGACCCTTTTATTCACAGTAATGTCAGTAATAAATGTATGGAAATAAATTTCTAAAAGTGCAAGACCTGTATACCAAAAACTACAAAATGTCACTAAAGGAAATTTTTAAAAATCTAAAGAAAGAAGGAGGCAGTCCATGCTTTAGACTAGAAGACTCAATTTGGTCAGATGGCTTTTCTCCCCAAATTGATCTATAAATTCAGTATAATCTCCATCACAATTCTAGTAGACATTTTATAGAATTTAGCAACTTGATCCCAAAACTTACTTGGAAATGCAAAAGACCTGGAATGACCAAAGTAATTTTGATAAAGAAACAAGGGGGAAGATCTTCACTTCATGTTTTCAGAATTTATTTTGAAGTTAACAGTAATCAAAACACTATGATTTGACAGTTTCTTAAAAAGTTAGATGTCATTTTACCATTCTTAGTTACATGGAATATCCAAGAAAGACAGATCTATAGAGACAAAGTACATCAATGGCTGCCCTAGGCTTGTGATGGGAATGAAGAAGGGCTGTAAAAGGCATAGGAGATTTTACGTGGAGAATGGAAATGTTTTGAGACTGAATTTGGGTGCTGGTCACACAACTCTGTAAACATATGAAAAAGCATTAACTTATACTTTTAAAATGGGTGAATTTATGGTATGTAAATTATACTCCAATAATTTTTTAAAAAGGAGATTAAATGTCCTGTAAACTCTGAGTGGTTAATATTATAGTTTCTAAAATCTCCTTATTAAGTTTGTTCTTGTGGGTTCATATGTGTTTCGGGAGTAGAAATTTCCTGCTAACTTGATTGTCAGTGTTTACCTGCTATATATTGCCTACTCCACTGGATCTGCAAGTTTCTTAAAGTAGACTACTGTGTTGTAATTATTTTTATATTCCACCCCTGGTGGTGTTTATGATGGTTTTTACCTCTAGAAGAAGCACTTTAAATATTGGGTCATTTAATTTGTGTATGATGAAATACAGCATGACTTTTACTTCTTGTCTCCATCTCCATTTAACTACCAGTGTGGTAACATTCTGTTACTCTTCTTATAGAGTATATTCGCTTTGCCATCTCCCTCAAGTAACTGTAAGTATAGTAACACCAACTAGAAGATAAATATGAAATAGATTTTAATAAAGTTGCATTGAATCACATTAAAATCATATTAGACAAGTCCAATCAATGTTTTTTTTAAACAGAAGATATTATTTTTAATTAAAATAAGATATAACAGTCATGTAGGCAGTGTTGATTCTTTTTCTGAAATCCTGGAACTTATTTTTTTAACAGGATCTCGTTCACGATCCCCAACAATTTTGGAAATGTCTCCACAACTTATTCGAAAAGCACTAGAATGTGTAAACTTAACTCAGTATGTACGGTAAGTTTTAATAAACATGATTAATGCAGACATCTGTGTTCACAGAATTTTGGATACATTAATAAGCAGTTGCTAAACAACTGAAAATTTGAACTTAAATGCTTAATATATATCAGTGTATTCAAATTTTTAGGAGTACGTGATTTTACCCCCCAAATTTAGCAAATGTTTTATTAAGTCAATCACAAAAGCATTTGAATATTTTCTGTAAAGATTTAATTTGTAAGTTGATTAAGGTGAGTTGAGCTGCAGAAAATTCCCACTATGTCTGCTGGCATTATTTAAGTACATTTAATTTTATTAAGAACCAGACAGTAGGATTAACAGAGAGAGATAGTTACTCAGACATACTTATAAGTTTGAAAATATATTCAACATTATTTAGCTGCATAAATTAAAAAAGGAAAGACCTCCAAATAGTCTCATACTTTTCAACACCAATTCCATGAACACCTCATCAGATGAAGCATCTGATTTTCCTTGTACTTTCCTAGAATTGTTTCCTAAAATATTAGTGACTCAATAAACAGAGAATAGCCCATCAAAAAATAGTAAGTTTATCCTTTCTATTCCTAACATTTGATTGGATTCAGACCACCTCACTGTTCATATAATTTTAAATTATTTGAATTCCAGCATTCCAAAATGATTTATCCATCTCTTTTGATGATTTTATAGAAAAACAATGGACTTTGACCCTATGCTGCAAACAGAGGAATTGAACCAGCATCAGGCAATGCAAAAGGCAGAGGAGGTTCATCAGTTCCGCCAGTATAGGACCAGAGTCCTCAGCGTTCGAGACATTGACCAAGAGGAACAGCTTAAAGTAAAGGATAAAATCCTGGAGATGTATGGGGAGATGCGGGTGAGTCTCAACATACAGAGTACGGTTGACACATTCTAAAAAGATATCATAGACTTATATAGGACTTGGGTGGGAAGCAGTCTTGAAAGCGTTTAGTTCCCAACTCCTCAGAAAAGATGGAGGATCGGTGAAACACACCGAATTTCACTTATTTCCTTAAACCCCTCCAAAATGCAGTATTGAGGATCTATCCACAAAAATGGGAGGAAGGAGAGAGAAGACAACAACAAAATATGTGTGTAGGTAAAGAGAGCTGGGTGAAGATGGTATTAAGAGACTTGAGGCAGCCAAATTCTAAGCTGGTAGCAGAAAATCTCTTAAAATAACCCAATTTGCTCCATGGAATCCCTGAAAGGCTCAGAAATATGTCTAGTTGGCACATCCTCTTGCTTGTCCAATAGGCACCTTCAGCAAACCTCTGCCAGTCCAAATTCTATCATTCTTGCCCTCTTTCTCCCATCAACCCAAACGTATCACCTGCACCAATATTCCCCACTCAGAAAGGGCAGTTGTACTCTCTCAGTTGCTCAGAGCACAGACTTCAGAGACATCCTTGACTTCTTTCACCTCTTTCACCTAATCCATTATCAATACTTGTCAGCATCACCTTGAAAATATACCTATAATTCAATCACTTTTCGTTCTCTCTATGCCTACCACCCTAGTCCAAACCACTGGTGTTTTCTATTCAGAGTTATCGCCACAGCCTCCTGACTGATCTCACTGCTGCCATCTTGTTCTTCTACAATGGAATCTCTGCTTCAAACCAAAATGATAGTAACCATCAGGAAAATGATTTTATCCTGTGGTAACCAATAGCATCAGTGTCTCAGTGGCTTAAGATAGGGGTTATCAAACTTGTTTTCTGTAAAAGACCAGATAGTAAATATTTTTGCCTTTGCAGGTCAGGTATGGTATCTACTCAGCTCTGCTGTTCTTCATACAAATTCAGTCAAAGATAATGTCTACGTGTGTTCCAGTAAACCTTTATTTAGAAAAATAGGCAATGAGCCAGATTTTTCCACAGGCCTTCATTTGCCAACTCTTGGATTAAAACAACAGAAGAGTATTTCTCCTTCTAGCTGCATGTACAGGGAAGGTCAGCAGAGGGCCCTTCTCATCACATTTATGTTTCATAGTCACATTTCACTGGTCAAAGCTAATCACATGGTCACATACTGCGACAGTGAAGGAATTAGCCTTGCGGACACCTTGATTTCAAATTTCTAGCATCAGTAATGCTGAAACAATAAATTCTGGTTCCTTAAGATACCCAGTTTGTGGCACTTTGTAACAAAAGCTCTAGCAGATTAAAACTAAGACTAAGACTAAGAATGCTATGCTACTTTATGCCTGGAAGAGAACTGCGAATATTTTATGAGTTGCACTAGTGGTGATCATAGTACATAGTGCATAGTACATAGTACATAGTACATCTCTAAAATTTCACTCCTGTAATGACTTCACATTTCACTAAGAAAAAGAAGTCTTTATTATGGTGTCTAGAGTTCTATATAATCTATATAATCTAGTGTCCGCTTTCCTCTCTGATCTTTTCCCTCCATAATTCTATCTGCTTTGCTTCTTTTGTTTTTTTCCAAACTGACTTCACCTTTCCACTAATAGCCAGACATGTTCCCACCTCTGGGCCTTTAACTTGCTCTTAACCTTGTCCTGGAATATTCTTCCCCCTAGAGGGCCAAATGGTTTACAGCTTCACTTTCTGAGATCTTATATCTATTGCTACTTTATTAGAGAGATATTCTCTGGCTACCCTTTTAGAGTTAGCATCTCTCAATATCTGAAGGCCCATGCCTGGCCTTATTATTTTCTTTAAAACAATCACCCTATATGTGTATTTGTTTATTGATTTAACATGGAAAGGTATGTTTATTTTATACATATTATTTATAAATATTATAAATATTTATCATATAAAAATATATAATATATAAGCATATATATAAAGTATGTGCACACTTTAAATCTATCTTCTATAGAATTTAGTTTGAATGTGAATAGGATGTGTGAGGTATAAAAACCCTAGTTTTGGTTGAATCAAACTTAATAGAAACATTGTCAGTATCACATTTCTTATTAGATGGGAGAAAAAGATACCAATCCTCAAGAGATTACTGGCCTAAATTAAACTTACTTTATCCTAAATCCTTTAGATGACTTTCTCTCTCTTTTTAATATGGTACTACTACCATCTTGTACAATTGATTTAGCGAAGCCAATTATATTGTGGTGGATACAGTAATTTTCTTTCATCAAAAGATTTGAAAAAAGTCTCATTTTGACATTCAGCTCTTCCATAATCTCTACCACAATCATGCATGTTGCAAAACCACAGAAAATTTCTCAAAGAATTTAGCAATGCAGACAAAACAGTTGTTTCTAGATGCTTCTCTTCTGGTTAACATCAGTTCATTATTTTTTTTTTTAATTATATCATTTTTGAAACAGGAAACAATCAACAGGATGGACCGTGATTGTGCTCATACTATCAGAAACCCAAATGAAATAAGAAAGCCAAAGCTTCTTAGGAAAGCTACATTGGGACTTAGTTATATCACTGCTTTATTTGTGAACATTTTTAGGATGGTGCCTGGAGCTGACATTAAGCTTTGAAAATTACCCTTTTTTTTGAAAATATAAACTATAATACAAATTTAGTTATATATATGTATATTTTGAAAGTAGAATCAGGATTTCCTGATGGATTGTTGGTATACTATAAGAGAAAGTAAAGAGTCAAGAAATGCTCTAAGGTTTTTGGCTAAACAACTGATCAGGTTGAGTTGCCATTGGATCTGATGGCTTGAAAGAAAAGACAAAGATTTCAATTTGGGACATTTTTGGATATACCTATTGTATCAAAAAAAGGCATTCTTAAGTATCTATTATAGTCATCTGGAGATACTGAATAGAAGTTAGATATATGGTTCTGGAATTTAGGAGTGAGATCTGGGCTGGAGATTTAAAAAGTAGGGGACCCATCAGTGTGGAAATGGAATCTAAAGCCACAGGTTTAGATAAAACCACCAAGGAAAGAAGTCTAAGATTTAAGACGTGGCCATTTCCTCATTAAGAAATAAAGGAGAAGAGGAGACGTCAGCAGAGGCAACTGACAAGGAGCAGTTAGTGAAGTAGAAGAAAAGTCAGTGGGGCCTGAGGTCCAGAAAACCGAGTGAATCAGTTGATCCAGGAGGAGAGGGTAGGGGTAAGTAAGAATTGGACAAAGATGTGGTCTCTCATTTTTAATTAAACTTGAATGAGAGCCAAACTGACGATAACAAAGATAAGTAGTGAACTGGGTGATGGTATTTGAAAGTTCTTCAAATACATGCCAAGCACATTTCATCAGGTCTAGTACAAGTAACTTACTAATACAGTACATCAGGTCTAGTACAGGTAACTCATTAGTACAATACATCAGGCCTAGTACAAGTAACTTACTAGTACAGTACATCAGGTCTAGTACAGTAAGTCACTAGTACAGTACATCAGGTCTAGTACAGTAACTCACTAGTACAGTACATCAGGTCTAGTACAGTAACTTACTGAGCACAATTACGGTGAGAGTCACTCTGAGCTGCCTGTTTTCTAGAGATTATATTTGAACTCTTGCCTATCTCTTCACCTTTCTGTCTCTTTCTCCTGCTGATGCTTTTATTCACCATTTTGTTAAAATCTCATGTGCCTTTTGTTGCTGTCTCATGTTTCATGTGTTGATAAACATTTGAGACCATAACCTAATTTTTTTGGTCTCTCTTCTGTAATTTGCCACAGAAATCTATTGGCATGAGGAAGGGATAAGGGGATTGTTTTGTTTTGTTTTTTGTTTTTTTTTGTTTTTTTTTTTAATTTTTTCTGGGACCATGAGCTTTTATTAGTAAATCTTAATTGCTTAGGATTTTGTTTTGGAATAGGACTCTTTAGATGAAGCCCGACAGAAGATCTTCGATATCCGGGAAGAGTATAGAAACAAGTTGCTGGAAGCTGAGCGCCTAAGATTGGAAGCTCTGGCTGTGGAAGAGGCAACAAGTCCGGTGGAGCCAGAGAAGAACACGCTGTCTCCAGACACACAGAAAAAAAAGAAAGGAAAGAAGAAGTAACCAGCAGGTGCCCAATACTTGCCTTTTCTGGAGAGGAAAACGCCCTTTTTCCTTCCTTCTTTCTTTGCTCCCTTCTTTCCTTCCTCTGTCTCTCTCTTTCCTTTTTTTGTGATCTATAAACTTTCCTGTTGATAAGGCATTAGGTTTTCCTTCTTAGAATGCCTTCCTGCATTTTAATGTTCAATTGTTGGTTTCTCCCAGAAAACTATAATTTGAGTAGCCATTAGAGTTTCAATTTTTCTAATTTCAATAAAAGTGCCTCAAAATATTTAAAATACAATAACATTGATGTGTTTCCCTCTGAATTGCTGCATTTTTGGTAAGCAGTAAAACAAGATCATGAATGGGCTAACAGGATTGTGTTTGAAGACTCTGAACAATAAGAAAAATAACTATGGTTCTTAGAGGAAATTTTGTTTCTAACTGTAAAAAAATATTGTAACTTTATAATATTTTTAAAATATGCTTCAGGGGCGCCTGGGTGGCTCAGCGGGTTAAAGCCTCTGCCTTCGGCTCAGGTCATGATCTCAGGGTCCTGAGATCGAGCCCTGCATTGGGCTCTCTGCTCAGCAGGAGCCTGCTTCCTCCTCTCTCTGCCTGCCTCTCTGCCTACTTGTGATCTCTGTCTGTTGAATAAATAAATAAAATCTTAAAAATAAAATAAAATATGCTTCAGATTTGTGCTTTTTTTTTTTTTTTTCCCCAAAAGCTGAACTTCCAGAAATGTCCTTCACTGGGCGAGAGCTGTTGTGGGTTAAGCTCAATCAAAGTGTTTGAACTCAGAATCCTGACAGTCAGGTCACCCAGACACAAAGACAGTGACCACAAATACATCCCTTGTCATCAGTCCCAGCGCTTCGTTTTTTGTAAGTCACAGCGCATGTTCTGTAAGTCACAGCGCATGTTCTCTGACACCAGTTTTAGAAAACTGCAGTAGATTAACTGAGGCATGTAACTGGAAATGGGCTTCTCCCAAAAGCACACTTCTAGTTCATTCCTTCCTGAGATAAAAACTCCAGTGATATATTGTAATTAGTCAAAGCTGGGAGTGCCTATCTAGCTTAGTTGGTTAAGCTGACCCTTTGCTCAGGTCATGATCCTGGAGTCCCGGTATCCAGTCCCACATCAGGCTCCCAGCTCCGGGGGGAATCTGCTTCTCCCTCTGACCTGCTCGCCTCTCATGCTCTTTCTCTCATTCTCACTCTCTCAAGTAAATAAATAAAATCTTTTTTAAAAAGCTGTTCCTCTTTGATAGGTGATTTTCCTTTTTTTCATGTACTTAAATCTTTTTAAAATGTTTAGTTATATATATACATATATATGTAATTTTACTTAAATATGCAAACACATGCACTTTTCCTCTATTATTCTTTGCCTAACCTTTTTTCATCACCCTGTGATCTTCCAACCCCACAAAATAATACATGATAACAACCTAGTATAAATATTTCTGTTCTTCACTCATCTGATATAATCATACATCAACATTTTATATCATGACCTATTTTACAAAATGGCATTTTATTATACATTCTTGACTATGTCTTGATTTTTCACACCAAACAATACAAAATCTCTTTGAGACAAAAGTAATTCATTCTTTTTAATTACTGTGAAATATTTCATGGTACAAATACATTGTCATTGATTCAGCTAATTCTCCTGTGATAATATTTGCTTTGTTTCTAAAATTTTCTGTACAAGAAAAACAGGTAAGAATAGAAAAAAGGTAGCAAGATGGTAGACTTAACAAAGTATTTTCTAATAAAAAGAAACATAGTGTCTGACCTTTAAAATAAAGGAAAAATAAAAATATTTTGTAAAAAGATACTAAAAACATTATTATATAAATAAGTGCTTGGAGTGACTACACTGGAAATACATGGGACACAGAACGCCAAGAGCAATGTTCATGCCTATACTTGGAATCACTGACAATGCAGTATGTACAAATAAATGCAGACCGATTTACACATGGTTTGTAATTATCACTCAAATGTTTGGAATAGTGTTGCCATTGGTGATACATTTTTCAAAATGGTGAACAACCTTGGTAAATTTTCAAAGATAACAATGTTTCATCTGCCTACACTGCCTTCAGTGTAGATGCATTCCTTGAAACATTCACTGAACTTTAAAACTTTGCAAAAAAATACTTTTGTTTTAAATACCTTAGAGTTAGGTTCTTGAATCATTAATTTGCTCTCAGACTGCATAAATGATGGGCCATTCAAATCATAGAGAGGTAAGATAATTCTTTGTTGCATGTGACTCTTTCGAAGATTGGGGGTATCCAAGATTCTTGACATTCAACCCATAAAAATAGCAATAGTTCTCTGCCATTCTTGGGCCAATCCAAACTGCCCCTACATTTTTCCTAAATATCCTCTAGAGGGCTTTCACTGTCCCCACTGAGATCACTTCCATGTAGAAGAACAGTAAAGATTACTAAGAAGCTGAAGATAGTAGTGTCTGTGGATAGTAGTTAATAAATAACTCCATTAGAATGCATAGCAGTATAAAGACCCTCAATTGTATTGATTGAGTTAACCAAGGTGTGTGTATAAAGTATACCAACTTCCTACAATCCCTAGATCATTGTCTTCGACAAATGTATGGTTTCTCATTCATTTTCAGTTTCTTTCTCCATCTCTTATCATCTACCTCTTTACATCTTCCCAAGTACTGCAAGGTCAACTCTCCATCCCCTTTCTCAGGGGCTCTTGTAAGAGCAGAGAAAAATCTTTTTCTTCTGCAGTCAAAGGCTTGCTTCTGAGTAATAGTCCCCAGGGTGCAACTCTGGTGATAATGAAACATCATTATAAGAGCAATTTAACACCTCATTGTCTCTAACACCTCCACTGAAGAATAGGATTGTGGCTTTCCCTTTTGCAAAATCAAAGTGTCCACTAAAGTGTTTTCTGAAATGTAAGAAAGGACAGCCTTCATTTAAATGAATCTGAAAATTGCTGACAAAAAAAAATCTTTTAAAAAATAGAAACCAAGCTTTCAAAAACAAAAAGATTTCTAGTTTCTGAGCCCTCTGTTTTGTACAGACTATTTTCAAACATTAAAAACATGTTGCATGGTATTCTGATGTTTATCTTGTGTCTCTAACTCATTTCAATGAAACTCTTGTATCTACTGCCTCTTGGAAAATAGAGAAGTAGAGGGGAAGTGACAAGAAGAGCCATATAGTAATGGAATTTGCCTCAGAGAAGAAACTGCATGCCCTGAGCTATATCCCAAGTGGGATCATTAATAACAGATTAATAAAAGTTTCAATGACCTTCCCATTTCTGAAATTAACATTATGAAGGAACTTTGTTTTAAGCTGGTACAGTATTTTTTGTCTAATCAATTATAAAACAAATTCTATTCATCTTAATTTAGATAAAATAGTTTCCAACCACAGGTGTGTTTTTATGGAACAGTTTCATTACATATTGGAGACTTTGCATATGCTTAGGCTAAATATCCTTGTTTTGGTATGGGCACAGATGGCAGCATCAACACACAGTATGATTTATTTTTTAAGTGAACCTATATAACAAATTACCATTGTATGATAATTTCAATCCATAAATAAAAAATCTGTTTATCCAAATAAACCAACCATTTTTAATACATTTTATTAATTATAAAAATTCACTTGCCTAATGTGTAAATCCTTTTCCCATCTGGCATAAAATATAATGACACCCTTTATTTTCAATGTTCATCAAACCATTGATTTCAGAATCAGAAATTCAGATGGCACATGGATATCTTTTTCATTCCACATTCAACTGTGGGTGGTTGATATATTTATACAGATAGAAAGAAAATTAATTAAAAATGATGTTTGGTTTTGTGAAAAAGATTCCAAACTAATATGTTACACAGTAGTGACTTATTAGCCATTAAACTGTTGAATAATATAAATCAATATAGCTCATTGGTGAAACTGGGATCAGTTGGTTAACATCTCTGTAGTATTTTACAGGTTTGAATAGAAAATTTTCATGCTGTTTTCAACAGGAAGATTAAAGTTGTGTAAATGGTTAAAATCATATTAGATACAAACTCACCAATGACTATTTGATTAGTGATAGAATTATGATTAAATTGTTATACAATTAATAGGATAACAAAATTTTTGCTGTATATTTTTTTCTGAAGGAACTTTGAAGTTTTCCTGTATTTTTTCATGAACTTAGCCAATTTTTTTTTAACTTTAGTTGCTTCTGGAGTAGCAGGTGCCCAAAGTCCACATATTTTACACCATAATGTGTGAAAAACATTAAACTTTTGGCAGATATTAAACTTCTGCCTAAGGCCATCATTTCTGGAGCAAATCATCTGAATCATTAGCTATTAAAAATAAGACTTCATGGAAATAGTTTTTAAAATGGTCAACTTGAGGACGCCTGGCATCTGCCTTCGGCTCAAGTCATGATCCCGGAGTCCTGGGCCCGAGTCCTGTGTTGGGCTCTCTGTTCAGTGTGGAGTCTGCTTCTCCCTCTCCCTCTGCCCCTTTTCTCTTTCTTATGCTCCCCACCCCTCACTCCCAAATAAATAAAATCTTAAAATAAATAAATAAATAAATAAAAGGGTTAACTTGAATTCAAAAGCTGTTTTCCAATTTATGATTCATACAGACTGCTTGTATTTACTCTTGCTTTTCCTTTATCAACATTTAAATCATCTCTGGCTCTATAAAGACAAAGAGGAAGAAAGCAGGGGGAAACCCAGAGTTTCATTTGTGGTTTGCAGATATGACAAAAAAAATGTCCTAAAGGGAGGTTAAAATTCCTCATGAGATACTCATATATGATTTGCAGATTTCAACAACTCTTGGCCTTCAGGAAATTGGATGCTTCAGATTTGTCCGATAAGCTTTATTTCTTCTGTTGCATCATTACTCTTTAACTAGCTTGTCACATTAGGGCCATTTCTAATACTTTGTGTAAAGATTTCATCTCTCTGTTGTACAATGGCTTTTATGTTACTTGAGTGCA